CAGTAATGAGATTAAGTGACAAAGAACTATAGAAATTGTAGACAGTTCTAAGGCTGTCCGAGGCACTATAAGGGGATGCCCTACAGTGGTGCAGAAACACGAGCAACAGCATGCCAGTAGCCAAATGGAGGAGGATGCCAATGCCATGGAAAAAGCCATTGGGAACTACGGCATCAAAATGCTATCAAAATCACTGCAGCTAATACTAGTTTTGTTGCAACCCACTTGAACAGCTACTTCCTTCACAAAAGCTGTGCCATATGTACTAGCTCTGGGTTGGTTCTGCACATCTAAGACTCAGTCAGCACTGCTACATTCCAGGCAGGATTTTTTTCCTAGTTACCTGGTGCCGGGTTTGGCTTTGTTCCAACAGCTGTCGTGACTGAAGTTTCTGCTGCTGAAGTTGCTGCACAGCAAAATGGAGCTGATAGTTGGGATGTGCCAGCGGACTCTGTGTCACCTTGTTGTAGACACTGTTGTCCATCTCTCCTTCCCAGGCAAAAGGATGATTCTCTGGAGACCTGAGAAAAGAAAAGCCATCATGCTTTCACCACTCTGCATATAAGGACTCCTGTTTACAAGGCACTGCTGCTTCCTAAAAATCCCTTAATACATAGCCAGCTAGGAGTTTGTATTAAGGGGTTCCAGCAAGCACAACACCTGAGAGAGGTGCCCAGTGCTGTCTTGCTAAGGAGTTTCTTGAATTCCAGGCTGGAACTATATTACTAGCTGTAACACCATGCTTGAGGAGAACTAAGGAAAAGAGAAGAAAAACTTGAAACTGGAGCATGTCTGTGGCTAACAGGCATTGAAGAGAGGCAGATGCAGCAGGAAAAGAGCTAAGGATTCCCATCACTAATGAGATATTTATTTATTTGGATTTGTAGAGATTTTGTTACTACACTAACACAAGGGTTACAGCAAGCACACACATGCTGCAGTGAGCATGGAATAGAAGAAAGACGTGCAGTACAATATCCACAGAGAGGATAAAAGTGAGGTTGCAACTAGGGCACATACTGACTCCACACAGTTACAATCCAAAAGACCTGAAGGGACTGAAGATACGCTCATTTCCTTCATCACTAGAGTAATGCAAGCCTTTCCCAGAGGACAAAAGGCCTCCTGCAAAGAGGCAGAAGCTCTTAACAACCCAAGCTTATGTGGTGGGAGTTCAGCTGTAGCCTGCAACATGATAAGTACCAACAGGAGCTCACTGGCTTGCTTTGAAGTTTGTAAGCCTCAGTGAGAAAGCAGCACCAACACACTTCTTACACAAGGCCGAGGGGCTTTGCAGAGAGCAGGTGGCAGACTGACAGGACCACAAGGTGTTCTGAAGAGGCTACAATGGCTCTGCAACCCACACACCCTGTGCTCACAAGACAGGATGCCATATGACCCACTGACTCCTGATGCTCTGGCTAATAAAACCTTCAAGCCTCAATGCCTGAGCTTCCCAAGTTTCTGCTGATCTGTTATGTTTCTCTCAGCCACTCAACTCTTTCCAAATATTTCCTTTGGATTCCCAGGGCAGGCTTCCCTTGTATTTCTTATGCATGTAATAAGTAACTGGGATGTCACCTAGTGTCTTTTTCATTTCATGCCATAATTTGAAGTGTAGGTCATGGTTTTGGCAAGGGAGCTAACTGCAATCTCCTTGCTTCAGGATCCTATCAAAACTTACAACGTAGATTCTTTGAACATGTCACAGCTTCCCTTGAATGTGTTGCACCTTCCCCCACAAGCTTCATCATCACAGCAAACCCTAAAAATATTCAGAAGGATGTTTCAAATGAGACCAGAAAGAACTGCCATCCTTATGTACTCTCCCTCAAAAATAATCTAATGCATCCATTTCAAAGCAAATTGAGGACAAGGACTCTAAACACTAAAGGGTCACTCTCCATACTCAACTCCTCAGCAACAGAGGAGTAAGACAACCCAGTGAAAAAGGAGTTCAGCTGCCAGCATCTCCACCCTGCATCCTCTGGGCCTCCTCCTGCTTGGAGCACCACTACCACTTTTGCTGTTATGGGCGATTGGCTGTAGGGAGCCTTCTCTAGACTTCTCCATTCAAAGGATCCCACCCATGCTTCCTCAGTCCTTTGCTTCTTTTTTACCCCAGTGCAACACTGGATAAGTGACTCTCACTCCCTGCTACCTTTTGCTACAAGATTCTCAGTCTTTCGGTTCTTTTCCTTTCACCAGCGCTTTGAAAAGTGACAACCGTAATGTTGCTGACAGTACTCAGGCCTTGAAACCCAAGTTGTATAGGTCCAAATCTGGCTTTGTGGTTAACCTTAGGAAAGCTGCTTTCCTTTTCTGAAATTGCCTTCCCTCTTCTGCCCCAGTAATGGTGTCATGATCCTCTCCTACTGTGGTTTTACCTGCAGTTGCTCATCTCTGGATCCATGGATGTGTGTGTGTTGCTGGCCTCCAGCACTGTCCTCTACTGGGCACAGGATGCCACAAAAAGCATAACTGAAAAGGAGGACATGGCAAGGCACAAGGAATCTTTGAAACAATCCCGAGGTGTCTCCCCTCTAATCCCACCAGCTCACCACATGGGTTATCAGCAGGTTGCTGACATCTGGACTCAACTCCCATCCCAGGGGTAGTATCTGCTCCTTCCACTGCATAGATACAGACTCCACTATCCCTTCTGGTGTTAAAATTCATTGGATTTTTCCCTTGTGTGAAGCAGCTGGAATCTCTGTTACCCTCCCAGTAAAGTCAGGTCATGCTGACAGCTGAAAAACACAAAGGACTGTGCTGGGACTGGGATGCAGCCTTTGGGAGATAGCTGGGGGTTACTGCAGACCAGCCCTTGAAAGAAACATCAGCTGCACCAGAGACAAAGCTGAAGAGCTTTCAGAAGCTCCACCAAAGTCATGTTAGTGCTCAGTAAACAGCCTGATTAATTCCTCATCAGTACTACTGAAAGATTATGGTCTTCAATACCTCTGTTTTGAACTAAACAATCGTATTTGTTCGTTTGCCTAGAGTAACTTTTTCGCACCAGCAGTTTCTCAGTTGAGAAAATTTGGTAAGTTCATTCAAAATGCTCCTAAATAAAGCAAGCCAACGTAGGATAAAGGGGATTTAATAACTACCTAAACCACATGAAACCAGAGCTAAAATAAATGGATAAATGGACAGTTTCCACAATGGAAGGAGATTACCACTGGGGTCCCACAAGAATCTGTACAACGGTCTCTGCTGTTCAAAACATTTGTAAGTGATCTGGTAAAAAAAGAGTGAAAAAAAGTTTGCTGCTGAAAAACTGAAAGTCACTGAGATGTGTGAAAAAACATCACATTACTGAATGATCAGACATTAAATTGGTAGATGACATTCAATTTAATAACTACGAAGTCATGTACCCAGGGAAACACAATCCTAGTTTTACTCAGTGATGGACCTTGAACTAGTTATTTCTCTGCAGGAAGGAGACCTTATCACTATAGCTATAATAGTTTTTTCTATGAAAACATCACTAAAATACTCTCAAAAAGCAAACTCAGTGTTAGGAATTATTAGGAAAGACATAGGGAACAAACTCAAGAACACTACTGTACTACCATATAAACCAAAATTGCATCCATCTCTTGCATACTGAGAATAGTTCTAATCTCTGCCCCTCTTCCCCTTTTCAAAAAGCCTACAGTAGAACTTGAAAAAAGTACAAAGAAATTCTGTAGAGATGATCAAAGGTATGGAACAGCTTATATATTGAGGAATGACTTAAATAAATAAGGACTCTTCAGCTTGGAAAAAGGACAACTGAAAGGAAATATGAAAATTATCTACAAAATCGTGAGCTTCAGGGAGAAGGAAAATATGGAACAATTACTCACTTCTCACAATACAAGACATAGGAAAAGCCAAATGAAGTCATCAGGTGGACAGGTTAAAACCAACAAAAGGAGGTAGTTTTTCTCATAACACATAATTAAACTGTGGATGTTTAACTGGGAAGCTAAGGATGCCAAAAATTTACAGGGGCTCAAAAATGATTAGGCAAACTCACAGAAGCAAGAGCCACTAACACTGTTTATATACAAAGATACCATCTCCTTACCAGAAAATCACCGATTACCAAGTCCCAGAGAGTATTGGGGAAGTATCACCATTCCATAACATCACCTAATGTTCTTCCCACAGAATCTTCCATGGGCAGGATGTTGAAGCAGATAGTCCATCTGGTCTGCAAAAATGCAACCAGTATTGTTTAGGCATCAGGGGCCTGAAACTAAACCTGTCTCAGGTCTCAATCAGAAGTTAGAGAATTTAGTCAAGCACTCTTTTAGGTATTCGTTCACATTATATGATTAATTCTAGAAACTAATGTCTGCTTCAACTTCTCTCACATCTACCTCCAGCTCAGAACCTGCAATGCATAAAATTTATCCTTTGATCCAAAAGAATGCTTGGGAAGCTAATGATTGAGCAATTTGTTCTAAAACATAAAAGTCAAGATGAAATGGAGGAGATAAAACTGATGTAAATGAAAACTCCACTAAAGTTGGACCTGCTGATAGCCAAACTGGCTTTGTGCCACAGAGATGATGAACAGTGACTGCAGTCCGTAGTACTATGAGGGCCACTAACTCAATTGCAAAACTTTAGCATCATTTCCTTGATCCTCATTTCTTTTGTTTTGAGATATCTGGCAAAGGATTAACTATTATGGAAATACAAATACTGAAGACTGATGGTCCAATTTTTAAATATGCACTGGGACTGCTGCCTTGCTCCAACCTTAGCCCACTTCAATGACCTCTCGAATGCTTTCATTTGGTTTCTAACCTGTTTTAATCCACTTTCTCTGTTTTAACCAATACATGATCTATAGCCCAAAATAAATTCTTTAGGATATAATACTGGCCAGATAAGCTTGGTTTAAACTACCTAGGAAAACACTGTTGAAACTATGTTATTAAATCTCTAGGAAGAACTAAATTTAAAAAAAAACAAACAAAGCCACAAAAACTGGCTAACGTTTTCTTGCAGCATAGACAGTGTTGTATACAACTCCCTGTAGTTCTAATACCCTCTCTCCAAGTGATGCAGCACAACAGCACTTACTTTTTTCTAGATACTATATTGAAAACACTGTTGCTTGCCTGAGTAGACTTTACTCTCACGGCCTGCAGAATTCTTTTGAATTGAATATGCTTCCTTTAGTTTCCATGGGGTTTGCTTCTTTATAGATGGAAATCAATATGAATTCATTATATATAAATTTGAACCGTTTATAACATAAGCATTAAATATTTGACAACGGAAAGCCTGCATATTTGCAAGTCTTAGTACCACTTTCATAGAGAGATGTTTCATCTGTAATTTTGGAAAGTCCCCATGTTATTAAGTTGCTGATATTACACCTAAGGCAATGCTTGCCCTGGTACAGGAGAACAGGGCTTAGGATCTGAGCCTCAACATGTTGCTGCCAGAGACATGCTCCGGCTCTCAGTCTGTTTGCCATGCTCACAGGAATGCGTCATGGTGCAGCCCCT